CGCCGGGGCTCAAATACGTTTTACTTTGAAACCTGTTCAACTACTATGTACTTTACCTTAAAACTTAAAAAAAAGTATATTTTCTAGAACCACTAGATTTTCGAGCTCAAAAATGTACGAAAGTTGTTGTTTTGAGCTCGAAGAGCTCAAAACTTCAAAATAGACAATTTCTCGAGTGGCCTGCAGGGTCAACCGTGTTCCAGATTTTTTACTTTGACTGTACTTGAACATACATACTCACTTACATACATGTCTACAACATACAATTGTAACTATGGCAACCTAAAACACAAACAAAAAATCAAATCACGTTTTTTCCCGTAATCAGTCCATGTCATCTAAAAATAATCATTCTAATTATTCACCCTAAATAAAAATACTGTAAAGCAATTATGACCTCTTACAACCCCGGTGAAGAAATAAAACCCGAAAATGTATTAAAAAATTCCGATAGTGATTGTGATTATTCGTATAGTGACGAGTTTGATTCCGACAGCAATTCAGACGTCACAAATGTCACGGGAAGATCATCATCATCATCAACTTTATCAACTTCTTCGAAGTTCCGAACGAAGACAATCAGCCCCAGTGAAATGAGACTACACCTCCCGGAAGATGAAGAATCGCTCGCTAACCTCAAAAGGGACGATAATTACTCTTCACTGTCGATGACCTCTAGCGAACGCGTGAGGATCGCCCGGAGGTTCAACGACCGCGATTTGCACTCAAGGTATCCCAGGAAGAATATGAGCTTCACTAATATGCAGGTTATGAAGATCGAGAGGGACAATCAGTGCTTGCTGAACAAGATCATGGCCAATCATAAACCGATCTCGGACAACAATAGCTTGGGGTTCGCTAATAGGCTCAGCAGCTCGGCGATCAATAGGAGGAAATTGCAAAGGAAAATTGAGGAAGAAAATATGGCAAGTTTTTTTTTTGTTATTTTACTGATTTATAAGAAACGTAAGGAGGAGTTTTGATGGTTTTTGGTGTTGCAGATGATGCTGAGGAAGATACAAAGTGCGAAACCTCGGGTGCTTACCGGGTCGAGGAAATATTGAGTTTAGGAGTATTTTTTAAGAAGAAATGACTTTTTATGGGGTTATTTGGGAACAAATTATATATATTTGTACAAGTTTTGATAATAAAGTGATGTTTTAGGTAATTTTGAGTTTTTGGATATAATTAAAGAATATTCTTTTCTATTACTTCTTACAATTATACATAAATTTATACATTTTTAAACAGTTCCACGTATAATTTTATTTTTCTTTGGGTAATTTCATATAACTTTTATTAACTTCATGTAATATTTCACAAGACTATTAAATTTTTTGCATATATAATTTTTACACATTTAAAAGTTCATACAATTTTACATAACTTTGCTTAATTTTTTTGTAACTTCCTATATTTTTATTAGAGTGGCGCAAAAAAACCGACTAATTTTTTTTGAGTGAAAAATGTCAGTTTTTGATGTTTTAAGAGCCCTCTTCAAAG